GGCATTCCAAAGCCTGACAAGTTCAGTGGACACACAGGTACCTGGGACTCATGGTACTTCAAGTTCAAGACTTGGATTGAGACAAGTCACAAGAATGCAGGAAAGTGCATTCAGCTCCTCGAAGAGCATCAAGACACAGAGATCAATGAGACATCTCTGGAAGATGATTATCCTGAAGGAGCCGAGCTTGTTTCAGCTCAGGCCCGACAGGCTCTGATCTCACTATGTGAGGGGGGAAGCCCTCGAGATTGTCAAGAATACCTCCAGAGGTCAGCACTTTGGCCTAGAGGCTTTGAGACGATTGATCACTAAGTATGATCCACAGAACCCACAAGCAAACTCAGCTTTGCTGAAGAAGGTCCTGCACCCACAACAGTGCGCATTGGACAAGCTCAGAGAGAGCATAGAAGCCTGGGAAAACATCAGGCGAAAGTATGAAGAGCGGAAGAAGAAAGCTCTTGATGATGACATCGCAAGAAGTTGTCTTCAGCAGATGTGTCCAGCCAAACTTCAAGATCACCTTGATCTCCAGAGTTCGAGACTCACTGACTATGCCATCATGAAGTCAGAGATTTTGGCCTACCTCGAGAACATCGAGAGCCGAAAAGAAGCAAAGACTGGATCAGCACCAATGGATGTTGATGCACTAGCCGCAGCTGCCAGCCAGATGCAAGCTTCACTTGCAAGTCTGGCCAAAGCCAAAGGAAAAGGCAAAGGTGGCTCAAAAGGCGGCAAAGGAAAAGGCAAGAGTCAAGATGGAGGCAAGGGAAACGACAAAGGTAAACAGAAGGCAAAAGGTTCTTCATGGTCCAGTCCCTCGTCATGGAACAACTCATGGAACAAGAACGATTGGTATAAGAATGATTGGAACAAGAGTAGTTGGTACAACCAAAACTCCAAGGGTAAAGGCAAAGGTGGCAAAGGCAAAGACTCTAAAGGTAAAGGCAAGAGTAAGAGTAAGAAGGTAGCTTCAGTTGAGGAATCTGAAACCTCTATGGCTCAAGAGCATCAACCCGAGCCTGAGTATTCCGCTGACATCGCCACCCTCTTTGCCTTCGAGATGGAGAAAGCAGCACCTGCCGCAATTTCTCGTGGAGCAGCCAAGGCAAAAGCTGAGACTGAAGTCAAGGCTATGCCAAAGAAGCCAGGAGCTGGAAAAGGTCGTCCTGGAATTGCAGCTGCTGGGATTGCAGTCATGAACCAAGCAATCCAAGAGACCATGCAGTCCAATCGCGAGCTGTATGGGAAGAAGTCTGAGACAATCCAGAAGGCCATCGAGGAGGCCGAAGCCAAAGGCAAAGCAGCCAATGACGCCATCTTGGAACAACAGGCCGAGATGAAGAGGCTGAAAGAACAGTATGAAGAAAAGGAGAGAGAAGCCAAGATCTTGCTGAAGAGGCCAACTCCTCGCCGAGCCGCTTCGGTTCCGGCGGAGTCGCCAAGGCTCTCAGCTGATTTGGCATCAGGCATGGACCCAAGATTGGCTAAGAAGAAAGAGAAGAGCCGTCAGCGCGCCGAGCAGCATCGCGTTGAGAAGGCCCAGGATCGTTTCGAATCCTGGCGCGACTATGAGGCCAATTACCCTGAGGAGCTCGATTACTATGAGATCGCTCGTGCCAAGGGTACTGGTCGACTTCAAGCTTGGGATGATGAAGATGATGAAGGAAAATTTGATGAAGCCCCTCAGCCTCGAGGTCGAGAAAAGGCCCAGAGGCATCGTGGCTACAAGAAGCCAGCAAAGGCAAAGAAGCCTGAAAAGCCAAAAGAGAAGGAGCCCAAGATCGAGGATCTTTCCACTCAAGAGTTGGCAGAGATGAAGCGGGAAAGCCAGACATGGACGGCTACTAGCCATCCAGCCCGCAGTGTCATCGACAAGGCGCTCACTGCAGCTGGGTTCAACCCAGAGGACTATGTTGTGATGAAGCGCGTCGAAAGCCAAGGCGAAGGAGCAACAAGCGCACCATCCTTCGCAGCTCCAGTCATGGAGAACATCAATCCCCTTGATGTGACTGAGATCGAGGGACTCGAAGAAGAAGAAGAGTTTGAAGGTGAAGTTGAAGAGGATGAGAATGGCACTGAGCCAGCTGACGAGGAGTCAGATGGACAAGAAGAAGAAAAAGAGAAAGATACCGTGCCATGGCTCGACCACATGTTCCAAGAGCGCATCCTCAGCTATGATGAATGGGTAGCCAAATGCACCCACAAGAACAGAGATGGCAGCAAGAACATGGTCTGCCGTGCGTGCAACAAGGCCCTGAGGTGTGACAATGACACCGGCCTATGGAACCATCATATGGCTTTGAATTGTTGCCCGCCAAAAGTCCTCAACCAGTGGGCAAAGGAATGGACGATCAAGCAGAAAGAGATGGGAAAGCGCATCAAGACTGCCAAGGGACAGCAAAGCAGCCCAACTTCAAAAGATGCGCCGAAGCATGTGAAAGATGCCGACATGGATCTGAAGCCCGAAGATGTGGCAAAGCATTTGAAGATGGAAGATCCAAAGCTTGAGACCGTCAAGAAAGGACCACCTTTCTACATGACTGCCCATATGCAGAAGATGATGGAAGATCAGGAGGAGGAAGATGAGGTTGGCCCAAAGACGCCAAAGCAAAGGCGCGTCGCCAAGACACCTCCACCTCCTGAGAAGAAAGGCAAGACCAAGGAGGAACGCATGGCCTGGTTCAAGAGCTCGACTGAGGAGCACCAGGAGCGATTCCGTGGACCAGGATCCAAGCCAGAGGAATCCAGCGAAGCGCCAAGGCAGACGCTTCGGCTGAAGTCCCGGTCACGATCCCCGGGCAAAAGCCGAGCCGCTTCGGCTCCGGCTGCCTCCGATAAAGGCCAAGGAAAGGGCAAGCAGAGGAAGGTGCAGTTTACCCGAGCTGTCAACGTGGCCACTCAGGATGCTGCCCGTGAGGCCAAGAAGGGAAAGGGAAAAAAATATCCCACTCCCTCAAGCGAGCCTGATGAAGGCGATGACGATCCACTCGCTCTCAAGAGTTTGGAGCTGGCATCCATGGAGACGCCAATGGCTCATCAGGTGACCTTGGATTCAGGAGCCGCGACCTCCTGCATCCCTGTTGAGCTGGCCACCGCATTGGGCTACAAGCCTATCCAGCCTGAAGGCACCTGCAAAGTCTACAAGACTGCCTCAGGCGAAGTGGTCAAGGACCTTGGCAAGATCGAGGCCATGGTGACCATCGGCATCGGCCAGAACTCCCTTAATGGACGTTGCTGTTTCCGGGTGATGGCGGTTGCAAAACCGCTGCTCTCCGCGGGGGCCCTTATGAGCAAGGGCTGGTGCATTCAGATGCACGGATCTGGTGGGCAGATCTCCCGAGACGGAACTAAGATTCCGATCTCGTTCAGCAACGGCGTCTGTTCTGTGCCGCTTGCATTCCACCCTTTCGTCCGGCACCGCAATGGGTAAGTCCGGTAGTGGACGAGCAGGCCGAAGAGGCCGAGCCAGGCGACGAAGTTCCGCCTGAGCTCCGAATCCATGCTCCCACTCGCCCGACGAGAAAAGAGTTTGAAGAGCATGTTGTGTCACACTTCCCTTTTAGGTCTTGGTGTGAAGCCTGTGTAAGGGGAAAAGCTAAGGCAAACCCCCACAGGAAGATAGACCACACCGATGAGACAACCCCAGTAGTGACTGTAGACTACTGTTTCATGAATTCACGAACTGATGATGTAGTTTTGGACGAGAAGACCCATGCACCAATTCTTGTTGTCAGAGATCGATGGACGAAGCATCTTTTTGCTCATGTGTTGCCCTACAAAGGTGTGAC